CAGAATGCCTCCAGATGGCAACCATGAAGTTGGACTCTTACTCACGTAGACCTGCGATTAACAAAATAACGTCATGATGGCCTCAACTGCAGGAATTTCAGGCACGAATTTTACTATATTGGGATCAAATTTTCTGAATGATAATTTAATTTTCAATTATCAAACAATAAACAAAACATTTCACTACGTTAACTTAATAATTTATGTTGAACCGATTTTATTACGGTTTGACTATTTGTATGGCATACTTCATGTGATTATCCATATACTAGTTTAACTTTCAATCAACTTAATACTGAAAAATACTAGTATAGAATAAATACAACTAAAATGTCGAATCATTAGCTCAGCACTACATGTAAATCCTACTTACTCTACATGTCACAAAGGTCAGGCTTGGCCTGGTGATTAGCGCATCGGGCTGCGGATCGAAGGATTCAATATTTGAATGATACTGCTGGAGATTAATCGAACTTTCAGTTGTTGGTTCCTTATGAAAATGACAGCTATTCTCGTTATTCCATCCAACAATCTGGTTAAAACCCTTCTGGTGGCACATTCTTCAGGCTGACTTTTGCTCTTCAATATTTTAAAATTAAGGACGTCTGCACTTGAAGCCTAGCGGTCTCTAATCTGAATGTTTAGCCCACGTGCGCGTAAGGTGTCATTCAGGGCAATCTCATTCCTTTTATTATGAAGATGATATACTGAAGCTATGAGTGGTCAATATCCCCAGGGCATTATCAGTGTGATGATCAAGTACCACTATTCAAGTAGACAAGAATAGCCCAAGCATTGAAAGTGTTATTGTTGACCAGCTGGCTTCCCTTTAGGCTGTCACTTCAGAATTAGGGACAGTTAGTGAGCCCTTCAGTAAATTTCGTAAATATCCAGAAATAAAGAAAACAAATAAACAAGTTTAAAATCAGGGATAGTTAGTGCAAAGTAGCTTGAGTAGCTTTTCACGAACATCCGTAAATAAACAAACAAGCCTTTTCATTATCATATTTGTGAAAGTATTTTCTTTAAATGGCTACAAATCTTATAATGTTTCAGGTGATGAATTTTTAGAGATTGCAAAACTTGGTGGATGAAGTAAAAGAAAAGAGAGAAGTACAGTCATCAGCAAATGTTTTAATATATGTGATTACAATCCAGTTTAGTGTTCGTGAACTTGCATGCGTTTAATATGTTTACCTACGATAATATGTGCATGAGGCGATTTGCGCTATGATCAGAGAGGATTAAAACAGAAGCTTTTTCACTAGAATGTAAAAGAACAAAGAAGCAATTTGATCCAAATGTTTAAAACAAATTCTTAGAAACGTGGATAACCAGCTCGTGGGTTCTATTTGATTAATTATTAATATCAGTTGAACATAAAACTTTTTTGTCATAAAGCATGTTTTATATTAATGAACTCAGTATATTAAATATGATACAGAAATCACATTCAGAGTAGATTAGTATACTTGTCGAGACTTCTCATTCTTATTAGCCAATATTCCTATAAACTTTGAAATATGACTTATTTCAGAAGACCAACTTACCAGATATATTAACATTTTAGTATAAGTGTGTAATGTAAAATTATTCAGTAGTGCTTTCACTTAGGGTTGGGAACGTTTTTTATAACGATTTTAATGTGCAAGTCAGCAAGTCACGTGACAATCACAGCCCGTATAAATTCGCGATAAAAAGACATGAACAGAACTACATTTTGACTTTATTTGGTGTTAAATAGGTAGTATGATGCCATCGAAATTTCATCGCTTTGGGGGAGGGTATGTATAGTCTTTTCCGACGCAAAATATTTATACACCCAGATCATAAACTGCGTTCTGATCAGAGGTTTAGAATTTCCATGATGGGGATATCTCTTGTAATTAATAGCATTCGAAAACAAAGGAATGTGGATCATCATGGAGAGCCATGGTCATCTAGAAAGAAACCTACATCAAGTCGTACTCCAGCCGTGGTAAGCAAAGTGCGGCATTTTGTAATGGGGGACGAACACAATGTTTAGTGGGAAAATCATCTAAGCTTTGGGTTACGTAATCAAGAAAAATCTCTATTGGAAAAGCAACGTACGCCAGATGCATATAATTTGCATCCACGAAATGTTCGTTCAATTTTCACATACCTTAAGTAACTGGAGAATTAAACAGGTATTCATACTGTTCTATGTGAATACATACTGATAAATACACTGGATGCAACACCTATAGCTTTCTGTGCGATCAAACTGTTGAAACGGGCACTATGAAACCATTCTCCTCATACACCACATGGACTACGGAGATCCTGCAGGGAACTTTGTGCTCTGGGTATAACAGCCTTACGACTGGGTACTTTGCAATGAAAACAACACTGCAGGGCTATTGTCAAGATGCATAGGTGTCGGACAGAACATGACCGGACGTGACGACATGGTCTATAACTACGTGGTGAGGCTCGCTTCTTTCAATAGAATTTACTCAACCTCTGTATCTATAGCTAATATTTCAGCACTTTCAATATTTTATATCGAAAAGGTTTTACTGAAAATTACAAGGTTTTGTAAATCTCAAATGTGAGTTCTTTTGCTTTAGGGCAGGAATTTAAAATGTATACTTACCAGATGCGTGGACAATATAGTAAAGGGCTAGTGATTTTTGTTAGTAATACCCAATAAATTGAAATATTTGTTTAACACATAAACATATCATTTTGCAAATATAAAATATGTGTTATCTGATCTGACGTTAGTTTCAAACGCCGGAAGCCAGCGAAATGTGGGAAAAACCATTTGCAGTTAACTGATGCTATACTTTTTGACAAAACATATAATTGTAAGTTTTCATATTTATTTTATTTGGGTGATATAAGAGGAAACTCTGTTTTGAAAATATGTTTGTTATTTAGCATCTTTTATAGAAAATAATATAGTATTTATACATTTATAATACATGTTATCCAATCATGTAGCATCACCTGACAAAACTAAACAATGTAGTGTTGCCATTTATTCTTACTTAGTTAATTTGATGTATATAAGAATATGTTACACTTCTGATTGAGACTGCTCCAGGAAACACCATACAATATTTTGTATATAGAAGTTATCCGATGAAATATACCCAACAGCAATAACTGTGACACACTCGTTATATTCAGTTAGTATGCTTTACATGTTAAGGAAACTGCGTTGAATACACTATATCACAACATTCGTATTATTGACTTAGTTTATATAAAATGTTATATTCAAAAACAGAAGACAGGTATGAATACAACCTTGTTTGACTGTTGTGAAGCTACGGAAATCATACGCTCA